TACAAAACATACAAACAAAAAAACCCAAGTTGTTTGACTGTCACCTGTAATGTAAAAATGAGTTTTTCCAGTCTGAAAACATAATTCTCTGTTTTGAGCAAGGAAACAAAGGGATTTGCCCAGTACATTCGCAATGCATTTTGAGTTAACCAATGTAACAGTAAAACAAGAATATCCTTGTTGTATGCCTAGTTGAAAAAACATCTAAGTGCTCTGATTGTTTATTGAATTTTAATACTTGAAGGATTGCTGCTTCTTTGATTTTTTTGGCAGAAATAGCAACTGTGGTTAATGATCATCTGGAGTTTTATTTTTTTTTCTAATAAAATGTCATTTATCAGCAAAGAAGGAGAAAGGAATCCGAGAGTCATGCATACAGATGCATACACTAAATACTGCTTCTTCTGCCAGATTGCTGCTTTTGCTTGTACATTAATGGAAAATCTGTTCATTTATAAATAAGAAAAGTCCAACAAGTCAAAATTTTAGATCTAGATGTGAATTAAAAGCTTTTACATCTAGATGTCTTCTTAGACTAAGTCCAGCAGTATATACGTGAAGCCTGTAGTACTCTAAAAACACACACATATATATATGTATGTGTGTTATATATTATTATAACTATTATACTGAATAGTTTCTTCAAATCTATTCCTACGACTAAATTCCTTCCATTTGTGACTGGACAGGTGTTGATGAGCAGCAAGAATCATAAACTTTAGATAATAGATATATGTTGTCAAATTCTGACTGGAGTAATTCTGGAGAACATTTAAGTCATAAAATTCTTAGATAGTTCAGGATGAAGTGGCAGTCAACCACAATTTTTTTGCATAATTTTGGAAGCAGGTACTTCAGTTAAAGCCTTGATTTTTTCACCTAGCTCTAGCCCAACTGGACTCCTATGTATTTTTTCTGTGTGTAGCAGTTTCAGTTCAAACTCATGACCCAAATATCCATGGCTTTTCAGGAGTAGACACCTGATGTGTCAAAAATACGCACCAGATCAAACAACTGCTTCTGGTCTAGCAGTCTTATTCACTGGAGTCATTACTGGTCATGACTGCTGAATCTGCTGACAGCCCAGATCTTAATTAATTACTCAATTAAAGGTGCAAGTACTCGGTGTACATGAAATCTCAGGATAGGGAAATCCAAAATCAGAGGCACCCTGAATAAAGTAGAACTGTTGAGTATTTGGGAACACACAAAATGAATGAGACATCTTAGAAAAACGAGTAGATCTAGATAGAAGCTGTATCTGTGTCAGAAATGGGAATTCAGTGTGCAAAACAAATTGAGTTAAATAGTGTGTTTAACTCATTACATCAACTTTTATATCTCTCATAGTTACAGTGATTCAAGGAATACATTACAGGTTTCTTGAACAAATGGAGCCTGCCCACACTAAATGAGTCAGATAAAAATCAATTACATTGTGGATTCTTAACTGTGGATATAATCAATGTCATCATTGTTCCCTTCCTAACAACAAAATATTGGTCCCGGTCAACCAACCTGTTTAAGTTTGTTTGTGCAAAACATTTTATATTTTTTTTATACTGTTTTGTGGGCCCTTTGAAAATGGAAAGCCATTTGATATGAAGCCAAATACTAATAGGACCTTTTTTAAACATTGATAAGCACTCTTTAGTGTAGTACTTCATTTATGTTCATGTAAAATGTCAAAGGAGCAGACCTTAAGTTTTATCATATTCTGTAATGTTTTAGGTTCAGATTGCTCAATTTATTTACACTGGCATAGTCATCCTGGAGTCTTTTACTCTCAGCAATGGAACGGGAGATAGAGTGGGCTACTACGAGATACTACTGTAAGTTTTCAAAACTAATTTTTATGCATTAGCTGTTCTGCAGAGAATAATAAAAGGTGTATCATATGCCAAACCTTCCAAAATGTTACATCTACCAGGAATGCTGTCCTATTACAGGATTTATGGGAGCTGGAAGAAAAGATTAATAGAAAACAGACTTGATACATTGTATGCATTATTTATTTTTAGCATGTGTAAGTCCATATTGCCTCTAAACAAATACAGTGATGTGATCCTTTTTATATAATCAGGTTTTATTAATTCCCATTATTTTCTCTAACTTATCCCTTAGGGACTCATTGTGTATCAGCATGCACTGAAAACAGATGTTGATAATCCTGTGCATGTTGTTTACACCTCCAACCTTCACCGGATTCCCTGAATTCCAGATGGCAGATAGTTATTCTATGCATAAGATTGAAATGGTTTAGTTTCAAATCTGCATATCTTTCTATGCTCTGTAATTTTAATTCCAATGTCTAGACCAGCCCTAATCTGTCCCTTTCACCTTTTGTATTCTTCCATTTTTGCAAGTTATTGTCTTCTCATTTACTGAAAATAGAGAAAGGATTCCATCTTTCAACCACTGCTTTGACTGTTTTGTTCTTTATATGAATTGCTCATCAGAGATAGTAAATTTTAGAATTATTTGCTTGTTTTATTAGTACTTTATGTAGGTCTCTCAAAGTGCATACAATCATACTTTAAATTGCTGTAAGAAATAGAGTGTCTGTTACTGGATTTTTTCAGAACTTGAAATTTGTTAAGAACTGTAAGGATTGGCAGCATGATCTAATGCATACTAGAAAAAGTCTTAGATCTGAACTCCTCAGATCTGCACTATTCTAATTACAGTCATTACTAAGCTAAACCTTATATAAGCATTTCCTTTTCAATGCCTCCATTTCTCACTTTTTAGCTATCTTCTTTTCAATATACTGCATGCCCTTCCAGAATTGTATATTCTCCTCTGTATGCTCACATTAATTTTTTAAAATTAGTAAAATTATGCTCAATTTATACTCTATAAATAAGATCAGACACGTGGTACTGTAAATTATTTATTCAGTGTCATTATATTCATGATACTTTGTATAACAAATCAAGTCCTATGACAAAATTCTGCTGCTTTATCTAGGCCTCATCTGGAATAAGTCCAGGAAAATCTATAATTAAACTAACATAGATCAGTAGTAACTTTAAATGATTTAGTCATAGTAGATTGAGTTTAGCTGTATAGCATTTGGTCCATGATCCTGGCTTCAAAAATGCATACTTCAGATTTGGCAGAGTAAAGGAAGCAGGAGAGAGCAGAAATTCCCCTCCTGCACACACTCCCCATCCTCAGTTCTCACGTTTATATGCAAATGTTCCTTTATTTCTGCAGATGAAAACACTTCTGCACTCAGGCTGCAAAATCACAAGAAAATGTGTTGAAATTACAAAATGGAAATTTATTTTGGCATATTCGTTACAGTAGACAATACTCAAGCTGATGTAGTATCAGAGGATTCCATTTGAAGAGGAGGCAACATAGGCATGCTGCATACTCACCATACTCATAGGAACTCATACCTAGAAAGAACTGAGCATCCTAAGGCTCATCGGTGACCAATACTGCAAAAAGATCAAGCACAGTACTGACAACAGAATTTTGTAGGAAAGAGCCCCTACACATGCCTAGAAAAAAGAGCTGTGAAATTACAGAGATTTTGATAAATCTAGAAGATCTTAGAATCCACATCTCTGCCAGGTCTGATTCAGTCTTTCAGATGTGCATAACTTTAGAAAAAAATGGTTGCCTTTAGCAACACATCCAGGTTAAGACAAAGGTAATTCAGTGTGCTGATCACAAATTCACCCCCTTGTGCTACCTAACTACAGTATGCTGTCTTGCCAAAACAGGAATGTTCTCTACACTTTTTGGCGTGGTCTTGATGGTATTTCACTTGCAAATTTCATACTGAGTTTAGCTGAAGTCATGAAGCAGTCCTATATTCTGGTATATGGCTGCTCAGCCCAATTAAGCAGAGGAGAAGAAAATGGGAAAAAAACAAAACAAAACAAAACAAAGAAACAGAAAAGGTCAAAAATCTCTTTGACTCATTCAGCCAATTGCTCTTATAATTAGCATGAGTTGTTTCAGCATTAGACCATGATCACCTGTTTCTGCAATGGTGGTAGAATATTTAGATAGGCTGCATCTCAGAGCCATAAATGCATTTTAGTACTTACCTGCTTAATGTACCAGATGCTGCCTCATAAAGAGGGGAATTGACAAAAACTACTTAATAAAAAAGACTTCCTCTAGCATTTGCAATATAATGATCATCAAGCAGTTTACAAGCAGGAATAAAACTGTTTTGATTTGTTGATAATAATACCCCCATTTTACAGACAGAGAAATAATCCAGCCATAGGAATGTGTTTTAGCTGATAACAGGAACCTTATGTAGTGCTTTGTTACAGATTTCACAAGACGAATAAAGAGGCACTGGGAACTCTGCAGGTCACACGGTGCAGAATAATGGGGTCCCAGGTGTTCAGGAAATTGCAATAGTATTATCCTTCCTGTATTGCTAGGTCAGAAGAGGACTCCAGTCCAGAAAAAAAAGACTATTGAAACATAGTCTCACGAGGGTTATCCATATATTTCAGTTATTACCTGACTGTGTAGCTTGCTACTGAGAAAAATGGAAGCCGTATGGGCCATGGAAGCTGCCCGCCACAGTACCTGCAGCCACGTGGAAGGCAGTGCCAGGAGAGTTGCTGGGCCAGTGTCAGCGAGAGCAGGTGGTGGGGCAGAAAGATACTGTGCCTTCACCTTCTTCATGTAACTCTTTTTTCTTTTCAGAGAGCAGTTGGTGGTGATGCCTAACTTTGTGAGTGCAATTAACTCCAACAGGAAATCGGACCTAGAGAACATCCCTTCAAGGTACAGAGGGAGACTGCCGATGCTTTTAGATAACATCGGTTTACTTCCGTTCACAGGTTAGGAAAAAGTTGAAAATTAAATAAATCTATTAATATTATTATTAACTTAAAAGCCAGTGCTGCGTTGGGGCAGGTTTCACTCCCAGAGGCTACGCACTCACTCGCAGACACTGCAGGCCAGCCAGCCCGCCCGCGGCCGCCATGTCGCCGCGCCGCCCCCCGCCCCCACCAACCGTCCCCCACTGCTTCCCGAAGATGGCGGTGCCGGGGAGCCAAGGCGCGGCACCCCCTCCCCGTTCTGGGGCCGTGCCCCCGCCCCGCTCCCATGGGAGCCTCTCCGGCCGCTGCTGCCCGACCGTACTCCTTGCCAACCGCCTTGCTCAGGCCGAGCACACTCTGCGCCGCCGGCGCGTCCCGTTCCTGGGCCTGCGGCGGGGCTTCTCCCGCCGTCGCCCAGGCGCCGCCCCCGGCGGAGGCGGTGCCGCCCCCTCGCCGGTCTGGGGCCAGGCGGCGGCTCTCGGCAGCGACCGCACGGCGGGCGGGAGCTATGGCGACGGTGGAGGAGGCCGACGTGTTTCTGAGAGCCCGGGGCAGGACTCTAACCACCTTCCGCCAAGGTACGCGGCGTGGGGCCCACGCCGAGGCGGGAGCGCCGGGCGGAACCTCGGCATAGGGCTGCGGATTCCGGCGGGCTGTCTTCCCCGCGGCGCAGCCGGGCGGGAGGGGCGTGTGGAGGGGAGGCCCAGGGCTTTCACCGGCGGCGGCGGGCGGAGCGCTCACTGCCGGGGAGGGGGAGACGCTCGGAGGACCGGGGCCGGGAAAGCCCGTGCTAGGCAGCCCACTGCGCGGGGGAGCCGGCGGCGCTCGGCGTGCTGCTGCTGGGCGTCGGGGACTCGGCTGAACCCGCTGTGGTGCCGGGGCGCGCCCCAAGCGTCCCAAGTTCGTTACGTCAGCGGGAGAGCTGAGGCGCGATGAAGCGTTTGCCCCGCGGTCCTGACCGCAGCGCGGGTGGCTCTGGCTCAGATGAAGATGCCAGCTATGTCCAGCACCATATTAGTTTTAAAATGCTTGTCAGTGCTGCTGAACTTGATGTCCGTAGATTGTGAAACTGTCAGTGCCAGCACTGGTATCGTGTTCATACCTGTAGGGGTGACCTAACAGGTAGCTCATTGTTTATGTTACTTAAAGGAAAGGCAGGTGTACCATAACAGATGCAACTAGATAAGATCCCAGTTTCTTCGAGGTATTTTAGCCTTTGGGGTGTAGGTCACCAGCTAGTTCCTCCACTGGCCCTTCCACGCTGGGCAGACAGCCCTGTTGACCCCTGTGGTTAGCAGTGCCCGAGCATAAGTCAACTCCATAGGAGTCGTGGTTCTAGGCTTACCTCCTCCCAGGTGAATAAGGTAACAAGGCTGGTGCCAGGCCAAAGATGGCAGCCACCTGCTGACTGCTGGTTCTTGTCTTTGGCTGGACCCACAGAGGAGTATGCTGAACATCTATGCGTATCTCAACTGTTAGTAAAATTCTCCCATGGATAGATGTTCTGTAGTGTGCCTTGGTTTTTCAGGTGCATAACTAGCTCTGTGTTAAGAAATCTTTTTCTATTGCAACATAGGGAAGGTATTTTATTTCCTTGTATTTGTTTATAAATTACAAATCATATTGGTTTGGTGAGGTGGCAAGGCTATTCAATCCCAATAATTTTGTGGTATTTTCTTGGTTTTCATTGGAAATATTTGGCTTTGCTTGTTGCCAAATAAAGAAAAATCACCAACTCTGAGCATGTGAAGTGTATGTATACAGTCATTCTGGCAACCTATTAATTGCAGATGGTGTGGTTGGTTTGGAACAGAATGCCTAGCATTTGTTGAGGGGACAGATGGCAGACAAACCATCTAGTTATGTCAACTGTATAGTGAAATTGTAACAAGAGGAGTGTTCAACGGCAGTGTAAAAATTTCTGAACAAAAGCTTTATCTAAGTACTTCTTGAAAATTGCCTTAATCATGGAAGAAAAAATGTAATTTGGGTAACTTTATTCAGATATGTTTCCTTCTCCTGAAGTGTCCTTGTTTGGCATTCTTTAAATATTAATTAAGACTTTTCTGACCAACTGGTTGTTGTTAATCTTATTCAGGACATTTTAGGCTATCATAGTTCAGCTATTATCTGTGGGTACAATGTTTCTTTGTCATTAATTTACTTGTCTCTTTCTTAAGAGGATAAGGTTCAACACAGCCTTTTAATAACTAAATGATTAGGAAAAAAACAGAACCAAGAGCTGACAAAACTGGGGCAAAGTTTCTTGCAGTATAAGATGAAAATCAGGTGTCTGTATTTTGTTGCTTTCCTCAAGCTTTAGGTTTCACTCTCTGTTGAACAGGTAGCTACACAAAATGTTTACTACCACTGCTATGGCTTGGCACGCTGTTTCATTTTAAAATTTGAGAGTCACCCCTGAGAGTTTAATTTCCTTTTTTTCTTATTACCCTTTCTGCAAAATCACTCTTCTGCACCCAGTCCCCTGACAGTAATTTGTTCAGTCTGCTTTCACGTAATGTGGAAGTTATACCAGTAAGCTGCTCTAAACTACTCTTGGTATGTGACGTGTGAATCAGAAACCCAAGGTTAGGGATCTAAATTACCCATTTAATCAGTGGAGCATAGTAGCAAACAGTGCATAAATACCCTGTTTTATTGGCAAGGGACCTCTTCATTGTCTGTCTTAATAAATTTGTCGTCTTTTCTACCCATGTGAAATTATACTTCAGATGTCTACTACTTTCATTAGTATTTTAGTGAAGAAACAGGACCATATGTTTGGGTAAATTCTGACTTTACCGCTTCTCCCAAAAAAGTCATGTTTTTTTTTTTGTTTGTTTGGTTTGGCTTTTTCTTTGTTCCAAGTATACCAGTAACATGCTGTGCAAAGAATTTCTGTGAAAATAGGTACATCGCCTTTCATCACATAACTAAACAAGTGATAGTACCATCAGCTTAGCTGGCAGAGAAGTGTCTCTGTTTTGAACCTGTCTTGTTCTAGTTTTAGCTGATGGTTCCAAAACCTTTTTCTGGAAGAGGCAGATAACCATCATTGCATACTCATGTTCTCAGTTCCACACATCATGCCTCCCTCACCAGTCTTTGGCACACTCTTTATTCAGTTGCTTCTCATATTTTTTATTTTGCTCTGTTCTCTTTTTCCTATCTCTGCTTTTTTTTTGCTGTTGCTGCATGTTGAGGTGACTTTTCTTTGTAGTAGTTGCAAGAACTGTTGTTGTTTCTATGAAGTTGGTGGTGTTTTTCCCATGTGCGCTATCCTGCACTTTTCTGCACTGAAGTTCATCTGCTTTCTTGAACAGTCCCTGGGTAATGAAGTCTCTCCCCAGTTTTTCACAGCTGAGCGTTATTCTCACACTGCCAAATGGCTCAGTTTTAGCAAATTTAACTTCCTTGATATTCAGCTGCTCTTACAGATTGTTTTGAATTTGTGGAACAGTATGGGTCCCAGTACAGATATAGGTGGGGTCTGTGTGTCTTGTCCATTTATTTTTTTCCTTACCCGTTTTTTATGCATGTGAGATGTGTTGGGTTTGTGTGTGGTGTGGTTTTGGTAGTAGGGGAGGAGCTACAGAGGTGGAGCCAGGGCAGCTTTGGGAAGCTTCTCACAGGAGTCAAGTCAGACCCACATCTGACCAAGATTGAGTCAATTAGCAAGGCTGTCTGTGCCTCTGTGATTAGAGGGGAAGAACCTGCTGGGCTGAGGGGGAGCAAAGTGAGAGAAATACATCTGCAGGCACCAAGGTCAGTGAAGAAGGAGGGGGAGGTGCACTGGAGCAGGCTCCCCTGCAGCCCATGGTGAGAGGGCAAGCTGTCTCCTGCAGCCCAGGGAGGTCATCAGTGGAGCAGATGCCCACCTGCAGCCCGTGGAGGACCCCACACCAGAGCAGGTGATTGTGCCTGAAGAAGGCCCTGACTCTCAGGTAAGCCGGTGCTGGAGCCATCTGTTGCTGGGAGGACTGCAGCCTGTGAAAGGACCCACGCTGGAGCAGTTTGTGAAGAGTTGCAGCCTGTGGGAAGGACTCATGTTGAAGAAGTTGTGGAGGATTGTCTTCTGTGGGAGGGACCCCACGCTGGAGCAGGGGAAGAGTGTGAGGAGTCCTCCTCTTGAGGTGGAAGGAGCAGTAGAAACAACGGGTGGTGAGCTGACCACAACCCCCCATCCGCTCTGCTGCTGAGGGGGAGGAGGCAGAGAAATCAGGTGCAAAGCTGAGTCCGGGGAAGAAGTGGGGGGTTGGGAGAAAGGTGGTTTTAAGATGTGGTTGTATTCTTTCACTATCCTGCTCTGATTTGATTGGTAAATTATTGGTGGTGGTGATGGTGTTCAAATTGATGATATTTTTTTTTTTCCCAAGTCTAGTCTGTCTTTTGCCTGTGAGCATAACTGTGAGTGAGCCCTCTGTTATTTTCTCCACCTGTGAGCCTTTTGTTATATTTTCTCCTCCCCATCCTCCGGCGGGGAGAGGGGGGAATGATTAATCAGCTGCGTGGTGTTTAGTTGCCACCTGGGCCTAAACCAGGACATGAGGACTTAATTTCATATTTCAAGACAGCTTGTCTTCCTTAGAAGTTTTTGGTGAGTAACTATCGAATACCTCTTGGAGATGGTATCAAGTAGGTTTCCCTTGTCAATGTAAAAGCTGTTGGTTACTCTTTCTGAAGAATCTAAGTGCAGAAGTTACTGTCTTTGTTACAGGTTCCATTAACTTGCCTAGACAGGTGCCAGTTTTGTAGTCAGTAGTAGTTACCAGATTGTCCGGGACACCTTTTTAAATGTAGGTGTGATACTGGCCATATTCCTGTTCCTCTAGTGCAAAGGCAGTTTTAAGCAAGAGGTAACTCCCCACAGGTCAGCTGTTTTTTACTTTTTAGTTCTTCTGTGGATGCCATCTAATCTGAGTGATTTGATATTGTTCATGTCTATTTGTTGAATTATCTGCTGGTATTTGGATTTGAGATAGATCTGATGCACTGTCTGTAGGGAAGAATTCTGGCATTAGATCTTCACAAGTTCCTTCGCAATAAACGTGGATACAAAAATTTACATTTACATCTGTTCTGTCTTTAGCTTTGGGTGCATCTTGCATGTCTGGAACATCTGTTAACCTTAGTGAATGTCTGGCAGGCTACCTGCTCCTAATCTCTCTAAAAAGGACTGTACTAGTTTTCAGATTTACGCTGTTTCCAGTGGTTCTTTACTTTTTTTAGCTTGACTTCTTACTTTCGTATCTAACCTTCCAGTGTATAAAATCTTTCCTTTCTTTATTTGGATGCTCTAGCTTTTTAGAGGATGCTGCCCAGCTCTTACTAGCATCCTTATGGCTGTTGTTTATGTTGTTTAGTCTGTCTGGATTCTTTTTGGTCTTTCTGAAGTTATTTGTAAATGCTGTGCATATGGTCTGAGCCTCTGGAATAGTGTCTTTGAATAGTTTCCATGCTGCCTTCAAGGATTTTTGCACTTTTTAAAAGCATCATAATTATATATAATTCGCCTTCCTTTGAAATTAAATACAACTGCAGTTGATTTCTTATTTTTTCTTGCTCTCACATGAGTGTT